TCCAAAAGCTGGATCACGATGTTGACGTCAAGGACAAAATTGAATGATTATGTGTAATTTATTTAAAACGTACCTTGTTTAACACTTTCACTCTCCAATTTTCAGACACAATAGTAAGACTATAGCAATGAACTATATCTATGTAACACACGGGACAGCGAATGGGTAACTTTTTTTTTTTTTTGAAAAGACTGTGATTCGGTTGGGTTCGATTCCTTCTAGTGTACGTATGGGGTAAGGCTCTAGAGAAGAATGGGGAAGCGATTGCTGTTTCCTTCGATGTCTTGAAAGCCTTTGACAGGGTACTAGCACGTAGGGCTTGTAGACAAGCTTTCAACTTACATCTTATGGCCCCTAGTCTGAATGGGAAATTTTTGGGGATATTCCCATTTCAACAATTCGTTGCAGTGAAAGTTTTAGAGCACTTTGTTTTTAAGCTTGGCACCTAATTAGCACCAAAAATTCCATAATTTTGGCTTTTTCTAAGTGCGAATTCCTGACTTTGCGTTATGGCGAGACACAATTCTGAACTATGTCCGGCGATAGATCTCCCATTTTCCTTCCATGGTCAAAGTGTCTTCGAAGTAAAAGTAAATAGGCTTTTGCTAAGCTAAGTTTACTTAACATCAGCACTTGCTTATTATAGTTTAAAAAAATGTTAATCATATAACAATGGACATATAGCCCAGCTATATACTCTAAAAACATATTAGGTATATATTTTTAGAGTATATGCAATAGTTGGACGAGTCGTCACGGTTCATAAATAAATAAAATTCGGTTAATAAATATAGCATGTCTTAGAGTATATATCCAGGTTGCTTATATATACTCTAAGAAGCATGTTCTTTGGTAAAAATCTATTTTTAAACAATGTTAGCAGCAGATTTAACTGATAGAAATAATAAGACAGTACAGAAAAAAACTAATGAAAATGTAATAGAGATAATTCATATGCTTTTAGCACTTTCTACTTCCATATTCACGTAAACTTATTATATCTTTGAGTATTATGAAAAATTTCAATGTCATTTAAAAATCGAACTATAGTTAACTTTTTTTGAAATAGAAGAAGAACACTCATGCTTTATAAATAATGCTCGACGAAATAATTTTAAGTTCACAATAGAAACTGTTTAATATCGCTACATTTTACGCACAACCGCTACGAGCAGACTGATATTGAACTGATTTTTCACAGTTAGATAACTTTCCGTGTCTGTTTCAATGTAAGCGAACGGTGATATATCCGTATATCGTAAATCCGTAATAAATTGACCGCCTACATACGTTCGCTTCACTTATACACCATCACGATATGATACAGGGGGCGTCAAGAAAAGAGGCCTTTCCTTTCTAAAAGGCCGGTAATGCAGCTGCAATTTTTACACTGGGTTACACTATTGTCTAGTCTAGACATAGGACTAGACTGTCACTCTCAGCTGTCATCAGTCTACTGTTGCATAATCTCTCCTAAGTAAAAAAAGTAATAATAATAATGTCCTCCAGACCGAAATTTGGTCACGGCGGCCAGCCTCAACGGAGAATAGCCATCTGCGGACAGGATTATAGAGACCAAGTGTATGCGCAAGTACAGGTGTACTCTCTATTACCTCACTCTCATAGTCTCGATGGGAAGGTTATTCAACACGGCAGGGAGAGATCAGGCGCAAGACCAACGGCTTATGGCTTTACGTGCTTTCTGAAGCACGGGGGTGAAACACTGCCAACTTCCTGACTCCGGGCTGTTACTAAAAACTGATATTCGCCCGAACTGGGATTCGGATAGAATACAACAGAATATAACAATTTATTATTCAATATAGATCATGTATTTAACTCTTATTGAAAGTCATTTTTTACTTTACCCATGGTTTGAAAAAAGTCTCTGTCTATCGAACCCGGGGACCTCTTTTATAGAATAAGTGTATGACAAACGAACACACAGTCCCTCTGATGGTAAGTGGATGCTGTGACCCATAGACTACATTTATAATCAATTAAGGAGCAAAATGCATTGTCACCCCTGAGTACTGAGGTGGAATGCCTCGTTTCTAGTAAAAAGGGTCTCGTGTTCTCTACACTCACCATACGAATCACAGTAGCATTAAGCTGCTATTTTACGCTAGTATTCTGTGAGAGCGTGGTCCTACCTCGGTCGAGCCGACCGATTCGTGCATATAACTGCAGCTTGACTCCACCACGTCACATGACCAGCGATCGTATTTACTAGTGGTTGTAACCATCGAGGCTGTCAAGTAAAAAAGTATATTTTGCCTCTCAACATAGCCGTTAGCACAGAACCATCGCCAAAACAATGAAGCTATTTTTTTTAATAAGAAGAGAAAGTATAATATAAGCAATATTATAAGTAATCTCATTAGTAAACAACACCACAGAATAGAAAGAACAGTCACCGGTCTAAATATTTTGAGGTCTAGAATTGTGAAAATGGTGATTTCACCTAATTGCCATAATATCATCATTAGAACAAGTTCACTTCCAGACATAGGAATTCCATAAAACAGTTCTTAGCCACCTGCAGCCACAATCTTAGTTCTCAGGGGTGAAAACGCATCAACTTTTTGGTTCTTAATTAAGAATGCAGCATCTATTAATAAGGGTCTTCGCTTCTTGTCAGTTAGCACATGAAACACAGCAGCATTAAACGGCTGTTATACGACGGTATTCTGTGCAATACTGCTTCTAATCACGAGTCTTTGCGATATGGTTTCAGCATTTTCAGTTAAATACAACGTATATCTTGATTTTATATATTGATATAGAAAAGTATTACGAGTATGTAGCGTAATGTTTTCCTTACGACAACACAACACACATAGGTAAATAAAAATTACTATTTATCTCTAAAAGAGTTTATGTTTTTATTCATAGGGAGATGTTTACGACGTTGTTCACTTGCCATAGTTGCCACGCTAGGCAGGCGGACTAGAACCCGCAGCTTTTTTTCTAGTCGTTATTAGAAAAGCGCAGCTACCCACCCTCTGTCGCCTCTTAAGACACCCACGGAACGACAATAGGTGATGGAAATTCTTACACCACCACATCGTTAGCGATTTTTGAAAGAAAGTTTTCCGAGATGCACCTCGTACTAGTAAGCGAATTGTAGGGTAGTACCCCATTAAATGGAGTGACGACTTGGTAAGAGCTGTAGGAGTTTTATGAATGCAGGTAGCACAGGACCGTGCGTTATGGCATTCCTTGTGGGAGGCCTAAGTTCAGTCGCGGATTATTGATGGCCTATAATGATAATGATAGTAAAAAAATTATGATTTTTGTTTTTGTAAAAAGAATGAAGACATCATGTTATAAAAAAAGTATGTCGAAAAATAAATACCCATATTCTCAAATGTTTGCTGCAATCCGGGGCGCAATGTATTTTAAGAGCTTCGCGGGAGTTAACATTTTAAGGTGTGATAACCCCGAAATCTTGATCTATTTTTCAACAGAGAAAAGTTTATTTAACAGAAAGTAACGTCATTGCGTCAACGGAAGGAGTTTTGCAAAGCTTTGCACACAAAAGTTGTTTGTAATGATTACCTAACTTGATTTCTAATATACTATGATAATACAGGAGATGCACGATATGCCGACGAGCAAGATCCCGCCAAAAACCACCATACTAACCATTAATAATCTTAAGTGCCCATTTTTTTTGCTTTGGTACTTGCGCATATCTTTCGCCAGTATCAAATAATTCTTTTAAAAACTTGCGAAGTTTTTGGAAGATTTTGACAGAAGCTTGAAATTCATAGTCAATGACGATAAAAATTTCAAGGTATCTAAACGGACAAAGTAACTTGACATCGGAGCATTTGTTTCTTCATTTCTGCTAATAGTTCATATGCGCAAAGCGCACGCCCTTTAGTATTTATACTCGTACTTCAATACATCAAACTTTCAAACCATGGCGCAGAAATTCGTTGGCAGTCAAATTCCCGCCAAAAATATATGCTGTGTCTATTCTACATTCTACTTTTTAATTTCGGCTCGTAAGATTAGTATATTTGCCAGTCTCAGATTTTAAATTTTTTTTGTTTTGTTTTTAAGATTATTAACAATACTATAAACATTACTAATATTCCCCTTAACCACTCGTGGTAAGCTTAAACTGCTTGTGTTACGAGTGGTTCACGCCAGTAGTCGAATGGCGGATTCGAACCCACGACCTTTTTCAGTTCGCGGTCCGCGCCCTGCCATTGGGTTATTGTCGCTTTGAATGGACAATCTCGCGTTTTTTGAAGTCTCGTATTACACACTTTTATTTCAATTTAGGTACTTTATTTCTATACTTTAATGAACTGCATTATGTTTTAATATCATCAAAATTTTTCAATGTATCTAAGAGCGACACTTATAAATAACAATTATATAAAAACTTTATACGTATTAGGTATATTACGCCACCAATGCCCTCCAATTCATATTTCAAATTTAGGCATCAATTTTTTTCATTTCTCGCGTATGTATTTTATAATAATTATGCGTAATAAACTCCATTTACAAAATGAATAACAGGAGTAAAATCCATAGCATTCGTAGAACATAGTACAAAATATTATAATAGTATTAAAAATATAATGCGCCGCTATTGAAGAGGAACGTATACTTTTTGTAAGAACAAAGGATCTAGGTACTAGGTACGTACTCAATAAAATTAAACTCATTTGTACAAGTAGTATGGAATGCATAGAGTACTGTTCTATAATATAATAAATAACTTACTAATAAGTAACTTTTAGGTGCTTGATGTTACTTAAACTAAATTAACGTGGGCAGATGCCAAGGTTGAATCTCATTTTCAAAGCAGTGAAGACCAAATACCAACAACAACTAAATTATTTGTTAATTTCTCTAAGTAACAAGAAAAATTACTCCCTTATCAAATATACTAAAATGTTACTATTATTTTAGTAATAACATGTTGCATAACATCTTACCTAAATGAGATATTTTATTTGAATAACGTAAGCAGTTACCTTGTTGACAAGAATCCTTTGCTGGTCCCTAAAAAGTACACAAGTTAATGACACACTGTGTATCCGAACTGCACAATTTTAAATTTCGAACCGACTCACGTATCGCGTTTCGTCATTCCCGCTTAAAGTTAATTCGACAAACAAAATTGCGTGTTTTAAATTCACAAATGTTTTATTAATTATATAGTATCAATAGTGTTGTTATTGTTTGTCGCTGCGGGCGACGGCAGGCGGACCGCGCGGAGTGGACGTCGAGACTGAGTTTCAGTGGGCGGAACACCGCCCTGCCGGCGAGCTATATGAACACACGCGTCATTCAGTAATGAAATATTTAAACTTCTGTGGCCTAAATTCACTAATAGGATGAACCCACCTCTGTACATACTTTAATTTAAATATCTCGACCAATAGAAAAATCACCAAACAGCATAAGTACACCTAATATAAGTAGGCCACATACTCGTTCAAACCGGCAATAAAAGAGAAATATAGTTACTGCCTACATACGTTCCACTAACCTGCCACGACTACTGTTTATAGGTCTCCCCTTATTTCTGAGAGGTTATGGAAGTCCAGTGCGTGTTGGTGGCCTTCACACATATCTTCGAGGTACATTATTTCTACAAACATGCAGATTTCTTCACCGTAGAGTATGCGGTAAATGAGCAATTAAAATTATTGCAATTAACAATTTTATTCGTGTCAAAGAGATATGTACACGGGTTTCTTACTTACTTTTAAATTTCGGGAGAGCGCTTAGCCCTGATTTTCAAGGCCATAAAGTAAACCATAAGCTTGATGTAGACAAACCACTAGCGGCCAGGAGTTTTCGTGTTTTTTCATGAGTTCCCTATGAATTTGCTACACACGTGTTACCGGTGGTGAAAACACAAAACGCGGGCACTGACCATTGACGCAAAGTGTTACCTATTGCAGTTAAATTTGGGTGTACCGAATATGGAAAACATCGTCATTTACGTCGACTGCGTATTAGCAATAGCGCGATCAAACCTTCCGTCTCGAGTCAATCGTCCACTGCAGACAGGCTGTAATCAGAATTATTAACTGTAGCAGCAATTACCACTAGTGGCGAGAGTCACCGTGGCTGTTGCGACGAGCAAACTAGCTCGTTAATGCCAAGCGTAATAAATTATTAATTTGTTTATTTATTGCAGCATATCGAAAGTCCATTACTGAAAATAGGTCTCACCCATAGATTTCCTCACATAGGATATTTGTACACTTGTCAGGCGAGTTAGCAACAGCCACGTTAACGTAATAGAGCCACACTGCAGATATGTCATGGCTGCATGCAGCACGAATGGGTCGAATCCACCAGAGAAAGACCCCGCTCTCACGGAATAGTTGGTTAAAATAGCAGCTTAATGCTGCAGTGTTTCGTGTGGTGAGTGTCGAGAACCGTTTTATTGGTAAAGAGGCATTCTTTGCTAGACTTCAGGAATTACAGCGCATCTACATTTTGATTCTTAATAGAATATAGATGGAGGTATCTATGGGCCACAGCATTCACTTACCATCCGGTCAACCTGAGCATACAGTCAACTGTGTGCTTTTTTGTTTTAAAACCTTAACCTTTTTATCCACAGTATTTTATTAGGTAGAATCCACTACCGAATATCACCTGTGGATGTCGTAGGAGGTGTCAGAAGAAGCCACGAGAAGCAGCAGCATCTTCCTGAAAACAACACGATAATAATAAAAGCTGTAGTTGGCAACATGGTAGAGCCACGCTGCAACTATATTATAGTTGTAGCACGAATGGGTCGGCTCGACCGGGGCAGGACCACGCTTTCACAGAATACCAGCGTAAAATAGCAGCTCAATTCTGGTGTGTTTCGTATGGTGAGGGTAGAAAACCGGAGACCTTTTTTACTGATAACGAGGTGTTCCATCTTAGTCGTCACGGGTGACCAAGCATCTCCGTTTTGATTCTTAATCGAGGATAAATGTAGATGTCCATGGGCCACAGCATTTACTACAGCTGGACTGTGTGCTCGCGTTTATCATCCTACGAGGTCTGTTCAAAAAGTATCGCGTATTTTGAATTTCCGCGGGCTACGTATATTTGATTTTTGGTTTTTTTGTAGCCTTATGTTGGTACTCATGTCCCTTACTTATGCTGACAAGGTTTGAATGTTTAGTTAATTTTTGACAGCTGTTTTGCTTTGGATGTGTTTTGGCTCGTCTTCGATTTTCGCCTATTCCAAAAAATGGATCAAAGAATCTGTATTAAATTTTGTGTGAAAAACAAAATAAATTGCGCGGACGTATACCGAATGTTGACTGTGTCAACAAAGACGATAACATTGATAAAGTGAAGAAAATATTATAGTGCCGGCATTATCACGTGTAGTGTCGAATCACAGTTAGTGAAGTTGCTGAGGACCTAAACATATCGATTGGCTCGTGCCATTCGATTGTAAGTAATGATTTGGGCATGAGTCGGGTCGCCGCGATATTCGTGCCAAAATTGATCAATTTCGACCAAAAACAGCATCGCGTTAACATTGCTCAGAAGATGTTAGACTAAGTCCGTGACGACCCCAATGTGCTCCAGAGGGTTATAACTGGTGACGAATCATGGTTTTATGGTTATGACGTTGAAACCAAAGCTCAATCATCCCAATGAAAGCCGCTTGAGCCAAGACCGAAAAAAGCACGTCTAGTTTGGTCGAACGTGAAGGTTTTGCTCACAGTTTTCTTTGATTTCAGGAGCGTGGTGCATCATGAGTTCTTGTCATAGGGTAGTTAGATCAATAAGGAATATTACCTGTAAGTTATGCGCATTTTGCGCGAAGCAATCCGCCAGAAACGCCCGGATTTGTGGATGAACAAAAACTGGCTTTTGCGCCGTGATAACGCCCCTGCTCACACATCGTTGCTTGTGCGCGAATATTTATTCAAAAACAACACACTAATGGTCCCACAGCTACCGTATTCCCCAGACCTGGCCTCTCTTCTTACTGTTCCCAAAACAGAACAAGACATGAAAGAACGACGCTACGCCACGATTGAGGAGATAAAGACTGCATCGAAGGAGGAGCTGAAGAAGATCACGAAAAATAATTTTTAAGAGCTTCGAGGATTGGTAAAAACCTTGGCACAAGTGCATTATATCCGAGGGGGGTTACTTTGAAAGAGACAAAATAGGTATTGATGAATAAATAAATACTTTTTGAAAAAATACAAAATTTGCGATACTTTTTGAACAGACTGTGTATACTACAAAAATAAAAAATAAACCATAAGATTTAATTGAACGAAATAGGCGATAAGGAGACGAATACAAATAAAGTAAATGAGAAGTTAAGAACATAAAAGAGTTTAAAGATTCTTCTACGGGTTTATTCGTGATATATAGACTTATGCCCGGCAATTAATCTAGAAAATTTTATCAGGAAATGATGAATACAAACAAAAGGATAACATCAACCTACGTCCTCCAATAGGACGAAAGTGAAAATCTGGTTACTAGGAGACATAAGGACATGTGGCGAGACTATTTTTTAAATCTATTAAGTTGACCGTGTCTTAAAATAATAAATAATCATGTAATGTTGGTACGAGGTACCACAGATGACATTTGAAGAGGTCCGAAAAGTTATTATGAGGCATCGATGGCTATGGAGTACAATCTAAGCTATATGAGCTTTCGAACAAAGTATGGGATGGAGGAAAACAACCAATTGATTGGAATACAGGGGTTATCTGCCTAATTCACAAAACAGGCTGTAAAAATAATTGTACTAACTGTCGCGGAATAGCTCTATTACTTAGAGCGTATAAAGTGTTTAAATGTCTAAAGAGGTTAGAACCCTACGAAGAACCGTTACACAGCCTATTAAAGTCCACAGCTGAGCATAGCCTCTCCCACAGATTGAATCATGGGGGGATGTATTGCATAGTTGCCACGCTTGGTAAGCGGGGTTCATATGGTGAGTGTAGGAACCGGAGACACTTTTTACTGGAAGCGAAGCATTCCATGTTAGTTCTCATTGATGACAACGCAACTGCATTTTGATTCTTAATCGGGGATAGATGTAGATGCAGATGTCTATGAGCCACAGCATCCACTTACGAGGGCGGCACTGAAAATTTCGGGAATCAAGGAAGTGACACAACATTACTATTTAAAAATGTATTTATTGCTTTTCGAAGTATTCTCCGCGAAATTTGACACATTTTCCATACGATGGAACCAATCATTGAAGCAACCATTCCATTCGGAAGTTGGGATCTCCAAAATGGCCGTATTGTAGGCGTCCACAGCTTCTTCAGGCGATGAAAATCTCTGTCCACGCAATTTATTCTTTATTTTAGGGAAAGTATAGAAATCATTAGGGCTTAGGTCTGTACGGCGGATGGTCTAATAACTATGTTTTCTTGCTCTAAAAACTCTTTTTTTCTGTGTGCGGTGTGAGAACTCGCATTGTCGTGATGGAGGATGATGTGGCGGTTGCAGTTCTCTTTACGGAGTTCAGAAATGACCTGTGGCAAACAAATGCTAACATACCATTCTGCATTAACCGTTCTTTGTCCCTCCATAGGAATAGTCGTAAAATGGCCGGTTTTGGAAACAAACGGGGCCACCATTTTTTTTTTTGCAACACTCCGTGAACGAACAATTTTTGTTGGCTTTAACACATTTTCGAACACCCAAACTCTTGACCGGTTTTTTTGTTTTGGGTTCGTACGCGTATATCCAGGATTCGTCACCTGATACGATGTTGTATACGGCATTTGAGGATCCTGCGTGGAATCTTTCGAGAGTTCTGACGCACCAAGTAACGCGAGCCGCTTTTTTGCTCTTCACAGAGCGAATGCGGTATCCATCGGGAAAACAACTTTTTACACCTAATTGTTCATGCAAGATTATTTGTATTTGACTCATGCCAATGTCTAAAGTTGCCTGAATTTCGCGGTATGTCACATGTCGATCTTCCTCAATCACCTTACGCACAGCATCAACGTTTTCTTGGGTGACTGCAGTTTTTGGACGACCTTGACGGGGATCATCACTGAGCTTGACACGTCCACGTTGAAATTCAGCAAACTAGCGATAAATTGTGGTTTTGGATGGGGCTTCATCACCAAA